CGTGGGAAAAGGGGGTGTCAGGCCCCTTGGCTGCTGCCCCGGGGGGCACCAAGTGCCTCTTCCGTGGGATCTGGTTGTTCCCGGCAAGTGGGAGAAGTGGGAATCCGTCTCTTTTTGTTTCTGTTTGGTGAAAAGCCCAGTTTTCTGTAAGGCCGGGAGAGCACAGTGACCCCCCAACGGCGTCTGGATAGTTAGATTGCTGGAATCATCTGGGTTGGAAAAGATCTTCAAGGTGATGGAGTCCAACCCTTCCCCCAGCCCTGCCCAGGCCACCCCTGCCCCGTGTCAGCACCATCTGCATGGCTGTGACACCCCTCCAGGGATGGGGACCCTGCCCTGGGCAGCCAGGGCCTGACAGCCCTTTCCAGGAAGAAATTGTTCCCCAGATCCAATCTCAACCTCCCCTGTTTTCCACTTGTTCCTTAGGAGAAGAAACTGCCCCCCCGCCCCGGCTCCCACCCCCTCTCAGGCAGTTGTAGGGAGCAATGAAGTCTCCCCTCACCTCCTTGTCTCCAGGCTGGACACCCCCAGCTCCCCCAGCTGCTCCTCACAAGACTTGTGCTCCAGCCCCTTCCCAGCAGCACAGCAGGAGATGGGACATCCCTCTGTTCCCAGGAAAGGCATCAATCCGTAGGTGTGGGTCCTGCTGTAGCAACTCAGAGGCTGCTGAGGGATCCCTGGATGTGGAAAAGCCATCCCAGCCTGGCTGTGCAAACCTTGGCATGACCATGATGAGCTCATGGATCAGCTTTTGCACGGGTCCCCTCAGGGCTGGTGGCTTTTGTTGTCCCACAAACCACAGGGCTGCCCAGCAGCAGCTCTGCTTGCAGCTGGGAGCAGCCCCTGGCATATCCCACCTTGGTGCAGGTGTCCTGGATCCAGCAGCATCCTGTGGACTCAGGGCTGGTGGCCCCTGCTGACGTGGGTCAGGGCTGCCAAGGTTGACTTTTCACACATTAAACCAGGAACTTTCCCATGTGCAGATTTTATGGAATGTATTTATAGATGGGGGGGAAGCTGGAAATGGGATAAAGGGTTTTGAGATGTTAGAAATGAACAACAACAAGTGCCCTGAAAGGAAAAAAAAATAGAAAAAGAGGGAGGGGAAATGGGTTTAACTTTGTTTGTTTGTTTGTTGGGGGTTTTTTTGTTGTTTGTTTGGGGTTTTTTTTACCTCAACATTTTGGTTCACCTGCAAATGCTATAAATTAAGAGAAAAAAAGACCTGGAAAACTTGGAGAGCCAAATTCTTCCTCACCAAACTGTTGGGAAAAATGATCCAAGTTGGGGAACAGACCTGACCAAAAATCTGGCTGGGGTGGATGGAGGGATGGGTGGGTGGGTGGATGGGTTGCTTTGCTCACCAGATGTTGGAAACATCCTCTCTGAAAATGGCCTGTGGGCAAATTTAGTCACCATGAAGCTGTTTGATATGTAGGGTGGGGTCAGGATGAAATCCTGTGGGTTTCTGTGCCTCCAGGTTCACAGCATAACTCCCAGTGAAGCTGGAACTTCCTTGGACAACAACTGTCCATCTCCAGAAGATGCTGTGACCCCCAATCATATTAGAAGTGAATGGCTCAGCACTTCAGACCATCCTCCCCCTCACCCATCCTGGCCCACGAGGGACTGCAGAGTAGCAAAGGACACAGAAAAAAAACCCCTCTCTGGACCAATTATGTGCAAAAAAGGCAAAAGCTCTGATCCTGGGGGAAGGGCAAGTTGGTTTGGTGCCTTCATTTATGTAACATATTTATATCAGCCTTGATTTGCTGGGAGTACATAAGTTTCTCCTCTGCCCAGTCTGCTGTTCTCAGCAGCTCTGTTGGAAAGGGGTTTCTGTGACACTTCAGAATGTTCCTTCACCAAACTCAGTTGGGGTTGCCCAGAGGATTCAGTAGACACAGGCAGGGCACACCAGGGCTCCCTGTCCCCAGCACAGCTCACACGCCTGCTCTGCCATCAGATTAATCTCGTTTCCTTAGGAAACAAGCCTAAAAATAACCTGAGTTTGATAAGGTGTTTGGGAGGCTCCAAAAGCCAGGCTGCCCTGCAGAGCTAATTGGAGGCTGCCCACAGAAAATGCTCTGCCTGGTGCCCTTGGCAAGGTGGCATCCCTGCCCAGAGTGCCAGGCTGGAGGGATGGGGACCTTTTTTTGGGGTTACTCCTCTCCACCAGGGTGCTTTGGCCTCCACCTCCCTGAGACTCAGCTTGGAGCAAATACTCTCATGAGCTGAAACAGAAATGTCCAGGCTGCTGACGTGTCTGGAGGCAACTTGGAGTGTGATCTCCAGAGAAAAGGAGACGATGTTTGGCACTGGAGAAGCCATGAAGGGGTCTGGAAACTTGGAATAAGTTGCCAAGAGTTTTTATAAACCAGGCTGTGCAAGCTCTTCTGAAAAAGAGTGAAACCATTCGGGTCCCTCTCTGACTTCTGAAGACTTGTATCAACCACAGGAGTGGAAACATGAGAAACATGATTCATCCCCGACCCAAGAGAGGGGAGGAATGGGCTTAATGTGCCTTTGTCCATGTCTGCTCTGTTATTACACAGAATGTGGCCTGGTGATTGCAAGGAAGGGGCTGGCGTGGCTTCCCAGCTGCTATTTCCAGCTCTTGGTGTTTTCAGAGCTTGGACACAATTGACTTCACCTCCCAGAGCCTCGACCTCCTCATCTGCAGGCCAGGGGGTCCTGCCTGCCCTCCAGCCACCACCAGCATTACTAAAAGCCCCATTGTGCTGCTCCAAAACTCCCTGAAAGGTCTTTAAATACGCATTTTTAGGGGCTGGAAGGACTATAAATTGAAAATCAGACACAATTCTTTTCCTTTCCCATTTTTTTCCCCCCTCACCTGAAAAAGAAAAAAAAAAAGCAATAAGGTGAGTGCTGATGCTCTTGTGACACATCACGTTGCAAGGTTGTTGTCACAGAGAACTGAGGCTGCTACATCTGCTTGGTCAGGTTCTTATCTGGAGAGAACAAGGAGAAATAAAGATCCCTTCGAGGGTTATTAGAGGAAAAATCCCATGTTCCCTTCACATCAGGGTGTTTGGCACTGGGAGGCTCAGATTCCACTGGGCCACTGTCATGATTCACCACTGAATGCTTGAATTCCATCTCATCCTTAAACAAAGTGGAGCTAGTCCTAAAAAGGCAGCAGGAGCCCTGGCCACAAGGCTCTGCTGGGGCACTGGGTGATCTGTAAAACCTGCAGGGTCTCGTGGCTGTAGCACCATCACTCAGAGGGGAAACTACCCCTCACAACACCTCTGTTCTTCCCCTGCCCTTCCAGCTCTGTCTTCCTCTTCCCCACCCGCCTTTCTCCTCTCCTCTGCCTCTTCCCTGCAGCATTTCTCTCAGCTTTCCTCCCGCTGTTCCCTCTCCACACACCAATTCAAATCCTGCCCTGGGGTTCTGGGGTGTCAGTGGGAATAGTGGGGGGTCAGAGGGGCCCTGACTCCCCAGCCACAGATCCCAGATTCCCATCCATCAGCAGCAATCCCACAGCAGCACCACTGGGACCTCTCTTTGGCTCTTGTTCTTCACTTCCCTTCTTCAGGAGCTGTGTGGGTCTGCAGGTGGGCACAGCTCACCTGCACCCATGAAGTGGAGGTGATGGTGCTGGGGTGGCTCTGCCCCTCACACCCTCTGCTCTCCCTGCTGGGGACCTGAGCACCTGAATGAGGAGCCTGGGAACTCCAGCCATTCCCAGCTGCTATAAAAAGTGGTTAATCTGCTTCTGCTGGGTGAGGAGCTCAGGTGGCTTTGCAGGGTGAGGGGGTCACCTACGTCTGACCCCAGCTGCCGTGGTCCTGCTGGAGATCTCAGGCTTCAATCATGTACTTACACATCTTCCCTTCCCCATTTTTAGCAGCATCTGCCAACCTGCCCTACAGTCGTTGTGTCCTCCCCTTGACAGGCAGGGCTGGGCAAGGGGAGGGGCTGTGCTTAATGACCTGCCTTAATTGGCTTTTCATCATGGAAGCCTGGATGTCTGTGCAGCAAAGCACAGCCAGGAATCAGGAGCAGGATGAGGGCCAGGCTGGGAGCTCCTCCCAGTGTGTGGCAGGTGCTGAGGATCGAGGTGCT